GTTTCATTACTCAAAACCGCAATCATGGGTAAGACTGCCGACCTGACTGCTGTCCAGAAGGCCATCATTGACACCCTCAAGCAAGAGGGTAAGACAGAAAGAAATTTCTGAACAAATAGGCTGTTCCCAGAGTGCTGTATCAAGGCACCTCAGTGGGAAGTCTGTGGGAAGGAAAAAGTGTGGCAAAAACGCTGCACAACGAGAAGAGGTGACCGGACCCTGAGGAAGATTGTGGAGAAGGACCGATTCCAGACCTTGGGGGACCTGCGGAAGCAGTGGACTGAGTCTGGAGTAGAAACATCCAGAGCCACCGTGCACAGGCGTGTGCAGGAAATGGGCTACAGGTGACGCATTCCCCAGGTCAAGCCACTTTTGAACCAGAAACAGCGGCAGAAGCGCCTGACCTGGGCTACAGAGAAGCAGCACTGGACTGTTGCTCAGTTTTGCATGTCAGTCGGAAATCAAGGTGCCAGAGTCTGGAGGAAGACTGGGGAGAAGGAAATGCCGAAATGCCTGAAGTCCAGTGTCAAGTACCCACAGTCAGTGATGGTCTGGGGTGCCATGTCAGCTGCTGGTGTTGGTCCACTGTGTTTTATCAAGGGCAGGGTCAATGCAGCTAGCTATCAGGAGATTTTGGAGCACTTCATGCTTCCATCTGCTGAAAAGCTTTATGGAGATGAAGATTTCATTTTTCAGCACGACCTGGCACCTGCTCACAGTGCCAAAACCACTGGTAAATGGTTTACTGACCATGGTATTACTGTGCTCAATTGGCCTGCCAGCTCTCCTGGCCTGAACCCCATAGAGAATCTGTGGGATATTGTGAAGAGAAAGTTGAGAGACACAAGACCCAACACTCTGGATGAGCTTAAGGCCACTATCAAAGCATCCTGGGCCTCCATAACACCTCAGCAGTGCCGCAGGCTGATTGCCTCCATGCCACGCCGCATTGAAGCAGTCATTTCTGCAAAAGGATTCCCGACCAAGTATTGACTATTGAGTGCATAACTGAACATAATTATTTGAAGGTTGACTCTTTTTTTTTGTATTAAAAACACTTCTTTTATTGGTCGGATGAAATATGCTAATTTTTTTAGACAGGAATTTTGGGTTTTCATGAGCTGTATGCCAAAATCATCAGTATTAAAACAATAAAAGACCTGAAATATTTCAGTTGGTGTGCAGTGAATCTAAAATATATGAAAGTTAAATTTTTATCATTACATTATGGAAAATAATTAACTTTATCACAATATGCTAATTTTTTGAGAAGGACCTGTAATTTATTCCCAATTTTGAAAACCGTTTGGTTTTTCAGGTTAAATAAGCACTGGTTTTCAGTGTAAAGATAGCTGCTTTGATCATTTTATTGGTAACATCTCATTATTCAGATTTTTTTTGATTAATTGATTAAATTGAAGCATTTGACATAAAAGATGACAAAGATGCATTGAATATGGCAATTATAAAAAACTGTCCAAAGAAAAAAAGCCCCTGGAAATCAATGTATGATTGTTTAGATATTTTATCATGAAGTACAGAAAGCTAAATTGTAATGCTGTTGGTTTACATAATCAAAATTGTGTAATTAATGTCTCAGGAACATACTGACATAAAAAACTCCCATTATGAGTCTGTTGGCTACTATATCTATAAATAAAGGCTTTAGATGACATGAAATTGCAGTCAAATTTATGGGTGGGGGAGGGTGGGGTAGGGGGGTGCTCTGCAGGACTACTTTTATGACCCCACCAATGTCAAAATAAAACATACGCCCAGCAGTCTTATGCTGTCCGTGTTCTACTTTAAGCTACATCAACGTGTGTAGGATTTAATGGAGACATGGCCATAGAGTCCAACTTAAGTATGGCTGTGTCTATGGTAGATACCTGTACCACTGTTTTTAATATAACAAAGATGAATGTCCATTAGACAAGAGACTCATTTTGTGTCCAGACCGGATAACATGCTTCACTGGTAGTCAATACACAGTATGGAAAAAATGTGATTCTGTTTGTCCAAGTTAAAAACACTTGGAGATAGACAAACAGTTAACTGAAGTTTGTCATAAGGATTTAAAGGGTTAGTTAATCCAAAAAATGAAAATTCTGTCATTAATCACTCAACCTTATGTCTTTCCAAACACGTAAGACTTTTGTTCATTTTGGAACACAAATAAAGATATTTTTTACGAAATCTGAGAGCTTTCTGTACCTCCATTGACAATATGTGCAACTACCACTTTTTCAAGCCCTCAAAGTTATCCATGTGCAAAAAATATTTAAAACTAAAACTAACACTTTAATCTTCATAATGTAGTGTCTTGCATTTGGACATTTTTGACTATTCAAAAGTTTGGGATTGTAGGATTTTTTTAAAGAAGTCTCTTAAGCTCAGCAAGGCTGCATTTATTTGATAAAAAATACAGTAATATTGTGAAATATTTCTATTATTTAAAATAGGGGTGAATTTAGGGTGATGACTTGAAAAAGTGTCCCAATCAACCTGAATTCATCCTTTTTCTACTTGAATATATTTTAAAATGTAATTTATTCTTGTGATGGCAAATCAGCCATTACTTCAGTCTTCAGTGTCGCATGATCCTTCAGAAATAATTAAAAAATGCTTATTATCAATGTTGAAAACAGTTGTGCTGCTTCATATTCCTTTTCAGGATTCTTTGATAATTAGAAAGTTCAAAAGAATAGTAATTATTTTAAATAGAAATATTTTGTAACATTATAAATGTCTTTGTTTGTCACTTTTGATCAATTTAATGCGCCATGCTGAATAAAACAAAATTTATAAAAATAAAAAAAACCTTTTAACGGTAGTGTGTATATACACACTCACACTAGGCGCGTTTCCATTACAGATTTGCGCAAAACTTTTGCGATTTTTTCTAAATGTCGATAAAAAACTATTGCGAAATGACGGCGTTTCCATTAACCGATGTTATGCGACTAAAATTTATTTTTTTCCTCTCGCGATAAGTCATTCCAAAAATCATGGTAACGGATGATGGTAGGTTTATAGCCTATATCACAGCCACCGCACTAGACATTATTATTATTATTAAAGGTGCTATATGGAACTTTTCTTCTAAAATGAATGCTTTTTTTATTGCCTGTGTGTGAAGAGGTTGTAATCACACATTACAATGATACCTCTGAAGGCCAGTATTCCTATTTCTATATTCAATACATTGGATAATACACACACACACTTCTCTGGCTGTGACTGCCCAGGCACCACATAGCTTGAAATAATCCTTATCTTAGTAGTTAACATTATTTGTTTAAGGCCACTCACAGTTTCCTCTAATTTTAAATAAAATACTTTTGATTCTGACCCAATTGCCTGTTTTAAAGCAAACTGTATGCTCAATTAAGCAAATTAGAGCTAATTAAAGGGTTAGTTCACCCAAAAAATCATTAATGACTCACCCTCATGTCGTAAGACCTCCGTTCATCTTCGAAACACAGTTTAAGATATTTTAGATTTAGTCCGAGAGCTTTCTGTCCCTCCATTGAAAATGTATGTACGGTATACTGTCCTTGTCCAGAAAGGAAATAAAGACATCATCAAAAGTAGTCCATGTGACATCAGTGGGTTAGTTAGAATTTTTTGAAGCATCGAAAATACATTTTGGTCCAAAAATAACAAAAACTACGTCTTTATTCAGCATTGTATTCTCTTCCGGTTCTGTTGTCAATCCGCGTTCACGAGTCCGCAGTGACGTAAGACGCTGCTGACGTGTTATCTGATGTACCAGTACACGGAAGAGAATACAATCCTGAATAAAGTCATAATTTTTGTTATTTTTGGACCAAAATTAGAGATGCACCGATTGATCGGCCATGACCGGCGACCGGCCGGTCAGTCTGACATATGCCGATTTTATGCCGGTCAAAATGCACTCGGGCGGCGCATGATTAACATTGCGCAACATCAGCATCACACGTGCACACGGAATGCACATGTAGGAAACCTTGTGAATTACGGCCGTTTCACACCGCAAGCGTGAGCGGCGCGCATTTTTTTCCGGCGTGCATGTTAATCAACGAGTGCATTCACAGTGGGAGCAGGAGCCGCGCGTGAGCGTCGAGCAGGAGCGTCGCATGAGCAGCAGTGAAGCGGTTTCGGCGCCGAGTCTATTTTTGCTGCACTGCTCACGCTCAATTAAAGTGAAAGCACACTTTTGATGGACAAAATAAATATGATTTCACACAAAAAGTCCCCAAAATGCACAGAATTTGCATGTCTAGTGTGTTTTAACAAGAACTGGAGTAGGCTATGTCAGAAATTAAAATGAAGACTCTTTATAGAAAATATTTATAGAAAATGTACCCATTTAAACTTGTTTTTATTATTCAGTTTGGGTAAAAGTATATGGTGTTTTATAAATAAAAAAATATATAGAAAATAAATATTTGTGTTATTGAAAATAAAAAAAGTGGTTAGAAAAAAATAAAATCGGAATCGGCTAAAATCGGTATCATCCGCATGTCAAACTCAATGAAAATCGGAATCGGCCTCTAACCAAAATGTATTTTCGATGCTTCAAAACATTCTAACTAACCCACTGATGTCACATGGACTACTTTGATGATGTCTTTATTTCCTTTCTGGACAAGGACAGTATACCGTACATACATTTTCAATGGAGGGACAGAAAGCTCTCGGACTAAATCTAAAATATCTTAAACTGTGTTCCGAAGATGAACGGAGGTCTTACGGGCTTGGAACGACATGAGGGTGAGTCATTAATGACATCATTTTCATTTTTGGGTGAACTAACCCTTTAAAGTGCTAGTCATACTGTTGCTTCAAAAGACACATCAACATTTCCTGTCTTTCCTGTGTGATGCATCTTATATTATGCCTGAAAGCAGCAATAATTTATATTATATGCAAACAGTAACAATAAAAAGACAAAAGAACAGCATTGCATGTTTGGAATTGTTTAGAATGAAAGACATGAGTTGATCAGAACTCACCATAGCCAATGGCACGATGCCGCCAAGTTCGTGTGGTGCCAGACGGATGAGGGTCTGGATCTCGTCTGAGAGGGTCCGGGAGATGGGGTACTCAATCTGCCATGTCACTGAGCGACTTCCCAGAGGATCCAACAATCCGTTGACCTCCAGATCCACCTGTAAAACCTTCTGGAAACCGGCCTCCACCCTAACATAGGAAAAAGAAATGGTCACGACTCACGAGTAATATCAAAATGTTTGAATGCAAGCTTAAAGGCATATTTTTGTGCATGCCTCCAATGGATGAAAGGGCAGTCAAGCGGCCATTTATCGACCCTTTTGTTTTTGTACACCTGGTGTGTGTATGTAGAATGCAACGTATGTGGGTGTGAGTGTGTGGTGGTTTACTCTCATTATTTTAGTTCAACAAAAACGCATCCCAGCAGCAACCGAAAAAAAAAAAGACAGCAAAAAAGCAATTTACTTTTGGTCCAGCGCCACAGCATTTTCAGAAAAGATTTCCAAAGCAGAGCATAACATTGTCTCTACTGATTGTGATGCAAACAAAGCTGAAAAACAATGAATAAAACCAAAGCCATTTGATTTGCCCAGGCCTGGGTCTGATCAGCCTGGCTGCTCCGGCCTCACAGTACTTAGTTAAAACAAAACGGCATATGAAAAATTCCTAATATCAAAATACAAATGTGGAATATGGAACTGCAATTGAATTCGCACCTGGTAGCATGACAGGAACACAAAAAAATAAACTATATTCTTTTTCTCAGAATCAGAACAGTATGCAAGGTCCCTCTACATTTATCTCACACATCCACAAAAAAAGTAAGGTCACCGTGCTATTCTCAATGCTGTAATTTCATCAATACGGGGGAGAAATATAATTTATGCTTTTTGGTTGACATTACCCACAACTTTCAGAAAGAAATACTCTTTCTCTAACACACACTTTGGTCAGGGTTAACAAGGTAACAGCTTTCCCCATTGAATTGAGCTACTTTTAAACTGTTCCCATGAGAGATTTTTTTTTGTCCTGTAGTTTGAAGTTTGACATATCGCACAAATTAGATTTGAATGCCAGAATTTCGGACCAACCAACAGCCAATCTTCTGCTAATCAAAACAGGTAAGATGGATGCTACTTTTTATGGAAGCAGACAGGCCAACTGTGGTTATGATTACAATGTAGTAAATGTATCGAATGTGAATCAAAACTGACAGTAAAAAGATTTATAATGTTGCAAAAGACATTTTAAATAAATGCTGTTCTTTTAAACTTTCTATTCATCAAAGAATCCTGGATTTTTTTTATAACTGTTTCCACAAAAATATTACGCAGCACAACCATTTTTAACATTGGTTTTAATAAAATAAAATAAAAAGTGTTTTGATCACCAAATCAGCATATCAGAATGATTTCTGAAGGATCATGTGACACTGAAGACTAGAGTAATGATGCTGAAAATTCAGCTTTGCAATCCCAGGAATTAATGACATTTTAAAATATATTAAAATACAAAGCAGACATTTTTAAAATTATACAATTTCACAATATTACTGTCTTACTGTATTTTTACTGTATTTATGCATTAAATAAATGGTAATCATAAATGGTAATCATAGGAGACTTTTTTCAAAAACATAAATAAACATTTTTATAACGATAAAAAAAACTTTGCAATAGTAGGCCTACAAATGAACTGAAATAACCTAAACATTCCTAAAATCTGACACACATATTGTGTTTTGATACTGGACTGGATTTATTGGTCATTGGGCTGGTTTTTGATTGGTCTTCGCAACACTGACTTGATGTGTCTGAATCTGAGAATGTCTCTTTTATAGGCAGAGAGATACGGTTATCCTTTTTTTATCACACAAAATAGGCTATCATAAATACAATCTCCCTCAACTGAATCTTCAGGAAAACAAAATAAAATATCTTCCTCCTGTCACCAGCAGTTCTAATAAGTTTCATTCCAAAAAGCCCTGGATTCTCTGATTGCAATGTCATGGAAACAGTAACGGCAGGATATCTTTAATAAGCAAATCTGGATGATCATATCAGTTTTAACACGTTCTAATCTGTGACTTTACATAATAAAAGGGGTTGCACACTGCCAGTTTCTACCAGATCGCACATGGTGTAAGTTAATTTAATTTCTAGATTCCTTAAAGAGACATTATCTGTAAGTAGCAGAAAAGTGAACTCAAGACTAGAAAAGGCTTTTGTACAAGACTTAACGTCTTGTTATAAATCCTTAAAGGAATAATTTCGCTCTAAACCTGTATGTCTGTTTCCTTCCGCAGACCACAAAAAGAGCTGTTAGAAAGGATGTTCATGTTGTTTTGCTTACAATGACAGTGTAATTGACAAAAATGCCTCATAAAAGTATTATAACAGTGTTCCACACTTTTGCACTAGATTCAAAATCTTCTGAAGTCAAAATAAAGTCCCTGTTCATAGAAAATATTCTGTAACAATTTAGTTTAGAGTCCAATTCTCACTATTAACTAGTTGCATATTAGCATGCATATTACTAGGATATTGGCTATTTATTAGCACTTATAAAGCACATATTAATGGCTTATTCTGCATGACCATATTCTACATCCCTTCATCAATACCTAAACTTAACATCCACCATACTAACTATAAATAAGCAGTAATTAGGAGCTTATTGAGCCAAAGGTCGCAGTTAATAGTTAGTTAATAGTGAGAATTGGACCCTAATCTAAAGTGTGACCAAATATTCCTATTGCTGGATATTTTAACTCTGTAAACAATGTAGTTGGAGTGTAGTGCACAAGTAATTTTTAGAAATATGAAAGTTGATCACCATTTACTTTCACCATTCATTGTATGGAAAACAGCATTGTAAACATCCTGCTAAACTTCTGCTTTTGTGTTCCAAACACATCAAATGGGCAACATGTGGATGAATAAATTATACCAAAATTAATTTTTGGGTGGACTATTCCTTTTACAACAGATACATAACAATGACTGACCCTAAGAAAATGCTGTCTCAACAACTACTGCAAAAAAAAAAGGTCTTGCAATGCCCAAAATTGACGCTTACCAGCAGGCACTTGATAAAGCACTTGTCATGATCACACAAAAAGGCTATTTAAAGTAAGTAGCATTTTTTTGTGCTAATGTGGTGTTGCTGAAGGAAGATAGGCAGCTGAAAGGCTCTGGTGTTAGAAAGGCATTTTGTGAGAAACACAGCTGACAGCTTTGTTGCACTTAAAAATAAATGTATCCATCTGCAAACACTGGTTTCCATGACCTCAATGAATACTCTGAAGAGCCCTGTTAGATCAAACACTGTAATGGGACATTGGCAGTTTTCTCATTCAACGCTAAGAGAATCAAACCCGCACAGGATTAGGACTGCCATTATGGCTCAAATGTAGAGTCAAGATGTGTCCAGTAGAGGGCGAAGTGCACAGTATCTCTTCACCAAGGTGAACCTTTCCACACCATCAAAAGCTAATGCTGATTGATTCAAATCTTTTTGCTAGCAGATGGAATCTGGGAAATTCTCTGTATTTTTGCAGCAGATTTTGTGGGATAATTTGCTAAATGGATTTAAAAATTGTGAGATGTGTTAAACCAAGCATATTGGTAGCAGATGTAGCCAAAATGTTCAAGAAACAAACATAAGTGGCAAGGCATTTTATGAATGACGTGCGTTCCTGCAGAAACTGCAGAACTTACGTTGGAATTCTGAGAGTACGACTTAGTTTAGTGGGCATTCAACCTGTTTATAGACTATACTGAGTGAGTTCGCGACAATCTTACGCTATGCAGTAGAGGTTATAAGGGCAGTAAATATGAAAATCATCTCAGACACAGAGAGTGAAAAAAATGAAGCCTGAAAACATATTTTCAAACCACAAAAAGAGTACTTTGTGAAAACAGGAATGTAAAGTGGAACGTCTCAGCGAGAGTTTCTCTGTGAAGTCAAGACAGGTGCTCAAGTGCTCATTGCTAGGATGAATGGATTGTTATGTCAAAACATATCAAAATGCAGAGAAAGCCAGAGGAGCGCTATTCGTCGAGATAGACTCGCACGTAACCGTCAGAAGGAGTGAAATTCTGCCGGAATGTATAGGTCTGATGACAAAGGGCTAGGCTACAGGCGGTGGAGAATTAATATTTAAAGTGGAGTATGTGAAATCCCAATCTTTCAAAAAGGTTCTTCGACTGAATTTTCCGAAAAAGAAGCTCTTCAAAGAGACTGCGTGCCTCCCTCCTTTTACACAACCATGTAAAAATGGCGTGAGAGAGAAAGAGAGAAGGAAAAAAGGGTAGAAAATGGAAATGGCTTTCATTGTGGAGACTCTAGGGTGGATATATTCATGCACAGTGGTGATCTGCTTAGCACTGACAACAATGATACATCAAACGAATGGAATCAATTTTACTACAAAGCCGCTGTAGTTGGCACCTCACGGCTCGGGGAAATAAAAGTCAAAGCCGGGGAAGTAATGGCAGTTGGCGCGTCAGCTTTGAGTAAAGCTGTGGTGGAATTTCATTTCACAGGTTGCAGAAGAGGCTGAGTGAAAGAGCCACGCCAAAGGCTCGCCCTCGCCCTCCTGCTGGAGGATTTGCCAGCCGCCTCTTCCACTCATTTCCCTCTCGAAGGCAACGCTGGACACTTAGGACCCCCAACAGGCTAAGCATGAAACTCAATCACAGTGCTGGCATGGGGGCCCTGACCTGCATCATGCTCACTAAAGAACTTTATGGTCTAAAGATGGAGTTCACATGGTCAGAACAAAAGAGGAGAATGGGAGAGAAAGGAGAGGATCAGCCTACAGAAAATTGTTAATAGAGCCTATATTTGTGTGTGGAGGGAAACAGTGGTGCATTTATAAAGTATTAGGCTGCTAAAAAAACTGTGATAAAGAATCAGTTGCTAAGGTTTACATGGTTTGTAGCGTCAACTCTTCTAAAGAGATTCAAGAATTCTGTATATAATTGCAGGTAATTAAGATATCCCAGAATGTCTGACAAAATTATCGCTTTTGACAAATGCTGATAAATCCACCCCAAACACATCACATATAAAAAAGTAGTTGCAAGTGTAAAGAAGTGGTTACAAGCAAACAAGAGAGTAACATCAGTTGATGTGAACTGCCGGTATGCAATAATAATCCCTGGTTTTGGTCGTAAACGAATCAT